CGTTCCTATAATATATATATATATATATATATATATATATATATTATGTTCACGTTAAAATAAACAAAGGAATAAGTAAATATCTGTACGTGTTTACGCAAATAAGGAAGCGCCTCTACCCCCCCTCCGCCACACACAGTACTACTCTCTCGTGCTGCTGATGCTGCAGCAGAAACAGCAGCAGCAGCAACAACAACAGCAACAGCAGCAGCAACAGCAACAGTAGCAACAGCAACAGCAACAGCAGCAACAGCAGCAGCAGCAGTAATACCAGCCGCAGCAACAGCAGGATAAGCAGAAGTTAAATGCATTATATGTATTTTTATTTGCATAAGGTTTGTTACTGGTAATATTAAAGAATGCAAGAAGGAAGTTAAATAAAAAGAAAAATTATGCAGTAAAAGAAGCAGCTAGCTGCAATAATAGAAAAACAATTAAAACGGTACTGTAATGTGTTTTTATTTATTTGAAAGCAATTTAAACAAAACTCATTAAGCTAGCATTAAAAGAAAAAAAGCAGAGCTGCCTGTACACCGGAGCGGCGGTGGTGAAGGGAGTGAAGCCATTAAAAAAAAAGAGGGAAAGTCGCATTTAATTGAATTAAATAATTAAATTGAATTAAATAATTATATTATATTTTATTTATTTGCTTTTTAATTTAAAAATAAAGAAAAATGATTTAAGAGTTTCCCGCAGCACCGCTTCGCTGCATGCACACTGCTGTTTGTTTGTTGAGCGCTTTCCTTCAGAATAAAGACATTTTGTTTATATAAAAGTTTTTAAAGTTGAATGTAAACACATATTTGTTTTTTAAATAATTTTTTATTGTCCTTTTCTGATTTTTTGCCCTCTCTCTTCGCAGCAGCAGCAGCAGCAGCAGTTCACTCTGCTGCAGCAGCAGCTCAACAGCAGTTTTCATTCTTTTAAGGGGCCCTTCTGCTGCTTTAGGGGCCCCAGGGGCCCCCTCGACTTCTCCTACATTTCTTGGCTTTTATATTCTTTTTCTTTACTCACTATGACTCTCCTGTCTGCTGATCCGGGGGGCCCCCTGTCACATGCTTCTGAAGCACTTGAGGGCCCCCAAGTTTCTGCTGCTGCTGCTCCTGTTGCTGCTGCTGCTGCTGCTCCTGCTCCTGCTCCTGCTGCTGCTGCTGTCCCTGCTGCTGCGCAGCACAGGCACAAGATTAGGCCTGCAGATACTTTGCTGTCGATTGCAGCTGAGTATGGGGTGTCTGTACAGCAATTAATGCGGTGTAATAAACTCTCTTCAACAGATATTTGGTTTCGTAATCATTTACTTATTCCCTGTACAGCCCCTGAAGCAGCAAGACGTGCAGCAGCTGCAGCAGAGGGGTCCCCCCCAGCTGAGCATGGGGGTGCCTCCGGGGCGCCCCCCGGTGCAGCTGCACCTGCAGCAGCAGCAGCAGCTGCTGCTGCAGCAGGGCCTCTCGACAACTCAGGTGTATCTGCAGCTGGAGAAGTAGAGAAGAACAGCAAAGGGAAGGGGGGCCCCCAGGGGCCCCCTAAGGCATACGAAGATGAATTGCAGAACAATGCAAATATAGCTATGCTTGTTGAGGGTTTGCTGCGAGAGACAGATATACACCCGAGGCTGGCGAGACAGCGGATTATGGCTCGAGGTGTATGTCTATGTATCAAACCCTAAACCCTAAACCCTAAACCCTCAAACCTCGATGGCTTAGTTGTGTGTGTTGTTGCGTTGGGTTATGATTTGGGGTGTATATGCAGGTGTACATGGATATATATATTTGTTTTTTCTGCTTTTTTTGTTTGTTTTTGTTTATTTGTCTTAGCTGAGGTATGAAGAGGCCCTTAATGATTGCAAAAGACTTAAAAATCTACAGAGAGAGTTAGATGTTTCCGCAGCAGAAATAATCTCTTACCTCCTTCTGCACGACCAAGATATCGATGTGGCCCACACTGCACTCGTTGAAGACGCTAATTGGCATGCGTAAGGGTTTAGGGTTTAGGGTTTAGGGTTTAGGGTTTAGGGTTTAGGGTTTAGGGTTTAGGGTGTAGGGTTTAGGGTTTAGGAGGGGCCAGCAGGAAGTATGGGCCATTGCCGCATCGAGCGTTACGAGTCAAGGGTTTAGGGTTTAGGGTTTAGGGTGGAGGGTGTATAGTTATTTTAGGTTTAAAGTTTAGAGTGTATTGTTATTGAGGATTTACTGTAGCTTGGTTTCGATTCTTTAATTCCCAGTTGTATTGCTATTTAGGGTTTAGGGTTTAGGGTTTAGGGTTTAGGGTTTATTTTCAGGAACATTATCCGGGACACTCGGGAGCGTTTGCGAAGTCAGCGAAGCTTCTCCTTCGGGTCTCTGCTTCCTTCATCATCATCGAGGGGCCCCCAGCAGCAGCAGTATATGAGGGTTCAGGGGGCCCCCCCTATTGTGGGTATGGAGGGGCCCCCAGGGGGTTCAGCAGCAGGTGCTGCTGCTGCTGCTGCAGCAGCAGCAGGAGCAGCAGCAGAACCTTGGCGACCTGCTGCTGCTGAAGGTTTGATATCTTCTTCATTGGGGCCGCATATAATAGGCAACAGCTCTTCGTCTGTTGCATCAATAAATACAAATTACATACCTTTCTTTTATTCATCATCAATTGAAGGTTTAAGAAGAAGAAGAGGAAGACAAACGCATGCAGATTCTGATCTACACATCGGTAATACTATAGGGGCCCCCCTGGGGGCCCCTATTGGGGCCCTCGCTGCAGCACCAATCGGAGCGTTGGTTGAACGAAGACCTCAGGAGACACCTTAAAGAGAAAAAGAGAGAGAGAGAGAGACAAATGTTCGTCTTTGCTTGTTTGCTTCTTTTCTTTGTTTTGTTTGTTTTGTTTGTTCGTTTTGTTCGTTGTGTTTGTTTTGTTTGTTTGTTTGTTTTGCTTGTTTGTTTGTTTTGTTTGTTTGTTTTGTTTGTTTGTTTTGTTTGTTTGTCTTCAGTCTTCCTTTTTTACGTTTGTTCGTTTTGTTTGTTTTGTTTTTGTTTGTTTGTTTATTTTCATTATTTTTCTTTGTTTGTTTTGTCTGTCTTCGCCGAATGTTTATTTTTATTTGTTTGTTTTTGTTTATTTGTTTTTGTTTATTTGTTTTTGTTTATTTGTTTTTGTTTACTTGTTGTATTTCTTCTCTCCGCCATTTGCTTTGTTTGTTTGCTGTCTTTAGGGTTTAGGGTTTAGGGTTTAGGTTTTGATGCCTCAACAAACAAACCCTAAAAAGAAGAGACGATTAAACTGCAGTTGAAGGCCCCAGCATAATATATATATAATATATATAATATAATATATATTATATATATGCAAATATTATATGTGTATATACATATTATATAATGTATAAAAATATATATATGCATATATGCTTATGCGGAGGCATATAATACGTGGGTAGAAGTATTCGCATACGCCCTATATAATGTTTATTACAATATATATTATATATATTTTTATGTATATACACGTATGAATCCTTATACTTTTTAATAAATAATTCATAAATATATAAATAAATAAATCTTTTGGGTCTCGCATGCACACAGAGTGCATGCGAGAGAAACCCTCTGCTTCGTTGGCGGTATTTTCTTCTTGATTTTTTACGTACTGACATTTCGGGGTTGAGGGTTTAGGGTTTAGGGTTTGGGGTTTAGGGTTTAGGGTTTAGGCGGGCGTCTCCGGCCTCACAAGACGCCCGCCAGCAACCAGGATACCGCCTTTAGGGTTTAGCTTTTAGGGTTTAGGGTTTAGAGTTTAGGGTTTAGGGTTTAGGGTTTAGCATGTACGGCCTCAAGACGCCCAACAAAATTCGGGGGTTTCGCAGGTGAAGCGGCAGCAGAAAGAAATAAAAAATAACAGACTAATTTTGTTTTTTTTTACATAATAAAGATACGATATCTAATTTAGTTATATATGCATATATATATATATATATATATATATATATATATATGATCCACCACATCTGTACATGGATGCATTATATATATATATATATATATATATATATAT